AACAACAACTTAAGAACTAAAAGCTCCTTTAAGTTAATCTCCAAGTTTATCTCAGATCTGGATCGATGACATTTTTTTAAATCGCAGATCATCAGCAGGTCAGTCAGTGTGAAACACTCTACCTGGTAAAGTGCAGGGTGGAGACAACGCAGGCCTGGTCCGCCCTGAGTCAGGGACCAGCCAATCAGAACGCCGGCCTGGAAATACTTCCTGTCTTCAAGAGCTGTGAGGTCATAGGTGAAAAACAGGCGTCCTGGACGACCCTCGAACACAGAACTTTGCTGCAGCTCCAGAAGAGTCAACCTGTGTGTGTGTGTGTGAACGTTCATCTTTACATGGTGAATACTTATAAACTGAATGTGCTGCAACAGTCGCTTTGACAAAATCATTGAGAGAGAAGACATGTCAGACACTTGCTGCTTCACAAAGGTGAAGACTTGACATGAAATAATCAGTGATCAGGAAAATGACATTTGATTTTGCAACACTCAGCGTCCAAATGTCTTATTATGAAAATATCAGTTTAAATTTAAGCTTAGTCACGTCTGAGCTCTGATTGAAAACCAAAATATCCAGATTTATAATTAGTCGACAAGCAGAGGAGCGAGAATCCACAATAAACTGCAGCAGGAATATGGAAAAGCAGCTCATCAATCCCAACCTGAAGAACTCTCGGAGAGGCCCCTCGTGTCCCTGGGTCTCCTCTCCACCGAAGGAGACGACGGGTGTCGCCCGGAAACAGAAACCCGGCCTCCTCACCACCTTCTCGGCTCCGTGGAGCAGCTCTCTCCTCCTCGCCTGGACGTGGGTTTCTACATCTGGATTCACGTTCTCCTGGCGGAACAGTCTCAGGACGGCGTCCAGGTCGAGCGGGGACTACACGCCAGAGACAGACTGAAATCATGTCCTCTCGGTTCGTAGACTTTCTTAAACTGTTGCATCACATAAACTCACCTCGTCTGTGGTCCTGTGCAGGAGAGGCTGGACCTGTTCGACCTGCTGATTGTCTCCATCATGGCCGATCTCTGTAGCGGCCTCACAACAAAACTCCGTCCTGACAAGAGACAACAAGCATGTACATGTAATATGATTCATTTGATGTTCATTTACATGTATATACAAATACATCATTAACATACATACAAGTACAAGTATTTTCAGTTCAGTCTATTTATTTGGTTGTATTTGTGTTTTCTT